CGGGGGAAGCGAACTCAACTAGATTGTATGAGAATCAAAAAGTGTTTTTGGTACATCTAATTTTTCGGAATTTTTGGTATCTCAGATCGTGAGATTTAAACTCCTTACCGAGCACTCGAAACTAGCCTCATTACTCTTTCCTATCTCAAACACAACAAAAAATTATATGGATGTTGAAACAAATACTGTAGAAGAAAATGACTTTTTTTTTTTTTTATAAAAAAATAATAACAACAAAGTGCAGCCTGGCCTAGCCAAGCCACCCATGCAGCAGTTTATTATTCTCCCAAAAAACCATCGCGGGCCTTTAATTTCCTTTCGATGCTTAATATTTTTGGCCCAACTGTCTGAAATGCATTCCCCCACCACCTCCTCTCCTTCAAGTTTGCATGCAGTACAAAGTATAAGCATTCATCCAGAATTTCCCTAGACTTCAATAATTATGGCTCTGTTGGTTCCCCAGAGCCCTTTCTTAATCCCTAGAAATGCACACACACGCGAATAGTGGAAAAAACAATTCCATCAAAAACGAACAAGAGAGAGAGAAAAAGAAGGGGTCACGGGAGTTAGAAGCGAAGCATCCCATATGGTGCATTATTACGGGTCTCAGTATATGGGCCCACAGTATTGGTGGGCCATGAGCACGCATTTTCCGTATGTGATCCAGAGTATTATTGGCTGCATTTCTTCAACGCGTATCCTCAAAAAATTACCATGCCCAGTGTCCTAAATTCAATGAAGAACATGTCAACAATCTCAAGGAAAGCCTGCCCCCTCCTTTTTTCTTTCTTTCACTATTGATTAGTGTTCCTTCTTTTTTTTTTTTTTTTGTCAATGTTGGGAGTGCCCCACCTTTTGTCAAACTAATCTCTCTGTATCTGTGCACCCGCCCTCTAAGGATACACGAGACGGTAGGAGAGTCAGAATGGACAACACGACCTGGGGCCTAATGAGGTACTTATCCCATATCCCTAATGATTAGTATTCATTTGTAACATTTTTGTTTGGTAAATAAGGAGAATTGAAACAAACTTGCTTTGAGTGTCTCTTTTAAAAGCGATTACAATTTCTTACCAAATGAGAGGGTTTCTTTAATTTCCTCCCCATTATAGTGTATTAGGAGTGTATAATCACATCAAATGTCTTATCTCAACTTTGCCACGAATCCACCGTTATAAAAAAACTCAGAGTGTATTTGGATAGCAGATTATCCCGGTGATTTTGATTTTTGGTATGGACCAAAAACCACATCTACACCTCATAATCGCCTATCCATAATGAGACCAAAGCACTGTTGCCGTACCATCACTGATTATTTATTATGAACTGAATTCATATATTTACTTCTAATTAATACTCCTAGTTTTATGGCCGATTTTGATTATGCAAACAGCGAGCAGTTAAAATTTGAATTAAGTAGAAGCCCCAAGAAAATTTAAGAACAGGACCAACTTTGGTATTTTATGATAACATATCCGATGGATGAATTTAACGGGAATAAAGGAATAAAAACACAAATTTTTGCTGCATTATGGTACATAGTCTCAAGATACACAAGCTGGAAGAAAAATGAAAAAAAAAAAAAAGTGAAAAAAAAAGGAACAAAAAGTGTGAAAGACCCTAAACATAATCCAAAAATTGAATGATTTAATGTGCTACGTTAAGTTCAGAACTCCAAATAGCAAATGCGACCATATTCCATGCAATTATTTAAAAGACACATCAAGTTTCTTTTTTTTTTTCAATCTCGACCGTCGAATAGGACTCAGCAAAATCATGGAATGCCTAAAACACGGACCCCACATCAGCACTCCCCACCTGATTCAATCACCACCGTCCATTTTTGACTCGTCACAACCAAACTGTAGCGAAAATCGCAGCTCCAAAAAAACGGCCATGCCATGCACGCGAAGCCACTTGCATCGGACGACGGCGTATCATCACCTGACGTGGGAGTATCAGCCGCTGACTTTCTTCTATCCTCTCGATGTCGGAGCGGGGGCCAGTGCCGGTGCCGGAGCACCAAATAAGCTCAGGGGCAGAAGCACTTTATCCACTTGATAAACAGCAAGTTGGTTGTCCGTATAGATTGTGTTGGCCACCGTGGCATCATCAACCCAGTCGACACGTTCACTTGGCTGCCGGAGGTGGTCACGTTTAACGGGAATCGGGCCGAGCTGTCTCCGGCTTGAGTCCTTACTGGATTGCTAATAGTTTGGAACTGTGTCGCTGAGATAAACGAGGGTATAATGTGAAATTGGATAAGCTGGACTTTCTGTTGATCGGTTAAGGAGTTGAGGGTGCCGGATTTAAGACTTGAGAAGGCGCTATCGCTGGAGCAAAAATGGTTATTCCATTATTTGTATCGTTGAGTTGGCCATTGATCTGATCGCTGATTTGGGTGATTCTCATAAGCCGGATTAATGTAGTGAATTGACCGGCCTTTTCGAGGATTTTGGTGATGTTGGTTGGACCAGGTGGTGCTGGGGCGGCGGCAGCCGGTTGAGCTAGGATGTCCGTGCATTGGAAGAGAACAACTGCTATGAATACAAGAGCTGATGAAATTTTGATTCTCATTGTTATGAAGTTTTGTTTGCAAATTTTGTGCCCTGCCCTATTGGCCTATGCCACTCGGAAACAAAGAAAACGGGTTTGGTTTTTCTTGTAGAACTATGCTGGTCTCGTCGAGAGGAATGGAGGCTAGCTTTTATATGTAAAAGGAAAAAGTAAACAGTCGCGTTTGTGAGTTGGTGCATTGTTGTTTATTAGTTAGAAAAACAGTTTGCATCATATGAATATGGATGTTGGTGAGGTGTAGCAACTTTAGTTAGAGAAGCTAATGGAAGAAGCCTAGTTTTGAAGACTATTCATTTCGAATTGGAATGAACATGAGGTTGGAATCACTGTTTAGTTTGCTTAGAATTCAAGGAAAAACAGAAGGATCTCAACTCAACTCTCAAGTGGGGTGTATGGCAGAAAGTTTTTCTGTGATTGCTTCACTTCCACTTGTGCGTATTACGCATATATGAGATTTCTTTCGCTGGCCTCAATTCAAACTTAGGATAGAAGCTGCCAATTTCAATTGTGTAGTTTCCATCATCGAATTGGAAAGCATACTTTTGCTTGGTTGTAATCAGAAAACCCTCACTTTAATTTGCGGTATATCTCAAATAAAGATATGAATGAACTTTAATTAGTTTGACAAGCTTGTAGACAAATCAACTACAATAATGGAAACATATATTATATATATATATATATATATATATATATGGAACGAGAAGCAGAAAACAATGTTCTACCGTTTTAATTGTTAAGAACAAAATACATACCTTAATGACTAATCATTGACTATTGCTTTTAAAATAATTCATTTGATATACCCTACTGATAAACCAGCCACTTATGCTGTGGTACTCCAACAGACATGGGCCTAGTCTGTGTTCGATTTGATTAATCCATAACTAATTATAGCATCAAATATTAAATTGCTTCTTGCCCCTTATACTCACAGTAACCCATCTCGATTCTCAAATTCCATTGATTCGGACAGCATCAAATATATGTTTTCTTTGGAAAATGAGGTAAGTTTTTCCTTTTGCATCTCCGTTTGGAAAATGGGTAAGTTTATTATCTTATGGAGGCACCGTGACACATACAAAACACGTTTCAGATTGCGACGGCTCGTAAAAAAAATACTTCTGATACAAATACTTTTGTTCGTAAAAAAATACTTCTGATACAAATACTTTTAACTTATCAAAAACTGGGTTCCTTAAATTACGAAAAATTGATTAACAAATATCTTAAAAGTAATTTTAGTGCTTAAAAATGCCCCCCCCCCCCCTTTTTTTTTTGTAAATGTACTGTATTCCCAAACGGAGCAAAAATCAAATTTTTACACCGTGTATGCTGATTGGAGTCCAATGGGGCAGTACTTCTGCCGCCGGTATGGGTTTAGCTCGAGCATTGGAACTGAGCAATCCAATAATACCTTTCAAGATTTGAAGGTCCAACTTTGGTTGAGGTCCAATGTTCTCAACTATCGGGAAGAACAGAGAAATCAAGACGTTTGCGTAGCCGACGACCTGGTAAGGTGTGGTTGAAAATTAGTGAAGTAGTTGATAGTTGATACATCGCAACCGAATTGATCTAAAGCTTTCTAAGCAAAGAGGAGAAAGAAAGATAAGTTCCACCTTTTGATCAAATCAGCTTTCATGCATCCACCATAGAATGATGGAAGTTGCTCCAAACAAGACGAAAATGGTCTGACTTGCTAGAGCAAATTCAAAAGATTGAGCTGACTGAACAGCCTTTTGAAGGAGTAATTGTTATTATATAAATTAATTAACTATACAAACTACAATATGTATCCAAGTTACTTTCAAAGGTTAAAGCTCTGAATGTTGTTCGGGTAACCCAAAAATTAAAAGGCTTTTCTAACGAGGTTAACGTTACTACGTTCTAACCAATCTATCATGTATATATACACATTAACAATTATTACTTTTTCTTATATTTATACACTTTCCCGATTAATCCTCGTGCAATTATATGTTTTCTCTAATTAATTTTACGTTTCTAAAAATTTAACATCTGAAATACTTTTCAACGAATGCCCATAGGACACCCGTTAAACAGATCGAAAGTTGAAACAAAGAGAAGATAGAATTCGAACCAGGGTAGACCGTAGACTAATATAGAATTTTGCCAACAGCAAATGGCATAATCTTTAAGGACAAATGGAGGACGTACTAACTCAGAACCATATAAATCCTCATTAAGAATGTCTGCTAAATTGGGAAGAAGAAGTAATGGTACATTTGTACCTTATTCTGCCTCGTGCATACCTAGCACTTATTACACTGCTACTTTATTTAATCTTCATTTTGACATGGGTTAGTCGCATCACTGACCAAATTAGCCACTGTATAAGACATTCATTTGCCTTTTAAGGGTAAAATTACGAATTCTAGCTCTATTTACAATTCCATAAAGAATTAGCAAAGAACATATTTGCTAGTCATAATACATATAATCGAAGCTAAATCAATTAAGTAACCCTACAACTTGAAACACTGACTTGTCCAACCAAACCCCCAAAAAAAAAAAAAAACTCTAAAATTAATTATAGTGAAGCATGATCTCTTCTATGTTCAGCATGCATTAACTCCATAATATCCTTATTAATATCTGTAACACCTATATCTCTGAAAATAAGAAAGCATGTTGTCTTAAATACTAGCTAGTTCAAGACCATTTCATGATAAGGGTCCAAAATAAAAATATCTTCAAGTCCAGAATTACAAAATTAAACCCGGAAATGCACCTCTTCCATGACTAAAAGAAAGAGTGATATATCAAGGCTGCAAGAGTTGGCAATCATGTAAAGAGGGATTATTCATAAATTCATCAGCGCCAAAAGCAGCTGCAGCGTAGCGTGGATCATTCTTTGAGGACTTAGCTTCACCTTCTGCTTCTGAAGCCCTTGTAGTACTAGTATTAGCACCAGCAGGCTCCTCGTCGTTACCACCCAGGTCATCACGTTCCAAGTCTTTCAAAATCTGAAGATTCTTCCTTGGAGATATCATCTCAAAGGTAAGCAGATTCATGTTCTGCAAAAACCCAAACACATGCCTGGATATAATAACTGAGAAACTCACAACCATCAAGTTTTTTTTTTTACATAATCTACTTGCCTGTAGGAGAGACATTAACTTCAAGCCTGAAACGGTGTCTAGAAGGCAGCGAAGAAGATTCAGACTCCACTGGAGAATAATCCAGGCCTGTTCTCTGGATGATACCTGCGCACCATTTGCTGTTTTCTGCCTCTTCGGCCAACGAGATGCTCTTGGGTTGGAAGGTTCTTCAGGAGCTCCTGGGTTTTGCGGGCTAGAGCTGGATGGATCCTTGGCTAATTGTCGCTGCTGTCGTTCTTTCATGGCAGGAGCAAATGCCTCTATTGAGGCCCAATCAGCTGGAGGAGGGCCATATTAACTTTTAACGGCCTCCTCGAATAAATATTTAATCCCTTAGCCTAGATTTTTTTTTTCTTTGTAAATAGTAAAGATTATTTCATTACACTTAAATGAAATTTATATTAATGACAATCTTTACTTGAAATTTATATTAATAACATTAGATACAGCAATGAAAGGAATCTCCTACCATGTTGAAAAATTAGCAAACGAGTAATACCTTCAAGCTTCAAATTTTCATTCATTAGATCATCTTTGCAGTCCTAACAATCTGAATCTTTCACAGCCAAATATATAATATAAACAGCTCCAGATGTCCTAAGGTAGATTTAGATTTGATATGTAAAAACAAGATAAGAGACCCTATAGCAAGATCTAACGAGCAATAATTTGAAAGGAAAGAATAAAATAGAAAAAGATGTATAAGGTAAAAAAAAAAAAAAAAAAAAAAGCACTTCTAATCTAATTAGAAAATTATAGTATGAAATAGCCAATGCCAAATGTCAGCGGCAGGAACGGTTGCAGGTTTTCTAAGAGTTGGGTTATTTAGTCACAGCCTAAGAAATAATCATCGGGTGATTATTATTATTATTAAATATTGGTTTATTTTATTACATGTCCTAGGATACAAGATGAGTACGCAAAAAATAAACAAAAGAAGAGGCAGGTCCAGTAAAAAATTTTCATGTCATACCTCGCCCTTAATTTGCATGCAAATTTTATTTTACATGCAATGACTAATTTACCCCATATTTTATCTAAGGTCACGGCATCGAGTAACCCTTATATTATATTTTATATATATATATATATATATATAATCAATGTGATGGGCATTTTTGTCTTATCATGTGACTCAAGAGCCAAATATGATCTAATAACAAAAAGGTTTTTTTTTTTTTAAAAAAAGTAAGGAAGTAGACTCCCTTCTCATTATTTTTAATCACTAAATTATGCAAATTTAATTAATGAAGGACAAGAAATCCGAGGCCTGGTTTAATGGTATCACCCTTCATGGTGGCATCTTAACTTATTAAGATTTATGCTTAAGTGTTTGGCAAGGAGATTATTTTAAATATTGTTTGAAATATTTATTATGACGCTTTTTATGATGTGATGTATATAACATAAAAAATTATCAAAAAATAAAAAAAATTGAAAAGCATGTTTGTGATGCAAAGAAGTACTAATATATTTTTTTTTTAACAAATAATGCCTATCCAATCACAGCAAATATATATATATATGTATATATATATATATATATTACAAATAATGCTTATCCAAACACGCTATTTAAGGGTTTTCTCCAAATATAGATAAAAACAAAATGGGAAAAAAAACAGTTAATTGTTCTTTTGGCATATTTCAAATCTTGCATCAGCATGAGTATGAGAGAAACACCATATAATTTAAGATTTGTTTTTTTTTGAAAAATGTTATTTATTCGCCATATAGAGAAACACCATATACTTCTTTTTTGTTATTTGCACTCCATTATCATTTTTATTATATAGTTTTGCATTTATTAAACTATATAACATAACAAATGATGGAAATGCAAATAACAAAATATGGAATGCAAATAACATTTCCCCTTTCTTTATCTGTTTTTCCCCATTTTTTCATCAATGGACCTTAGGCAGCCTACACATAATCTTGAAATACTACCATTTTGGCTCTGAACCAGGGAAAACGCCTAAACGTCCCCACACTTCCCCACCCCATACAAAAAAAACAACAACAACAACAACAACCCACACGCACAATCCTAGCTAACAGGAATGGTATCCAACTAAAGTTATACAGAGGGAGTTGGAGAAAAACAGGCTCATCTAGACTACAAATGTGCACTGTCAACAGGTCGGTGAGGGATTTCAAAACCCTACTAGTAGCCAATTTGCCTTTGACAAGTAAGTAGAAAAATGCCAAAACCATTTCTTTGCTTTCCGCTGCCAATGGTGGAAGCTGAAATCTTAATTCTTCCCCATGAACCAGTTAAGCTAACTACACTTGTATCAACCAAATATGAAAAATTTTAGGGCATACAAGTACAAGCGTAAAACAAAATCCTATACGATAAAACTTGCATGTATACAGAAAAAATAAAAGAAAAAAGAGCAAATTGAAAATTGCTCTGAATGTTAAAGGAAGCATGTTTAAGCTCGAACAAGCTAAAACTTCTTCCGCGAAAACTCTCAGTTACTGAAAACTTTTCCAATTAGCTTGCACAAAAATTTCCAATTTCTTGCCAGCTCATTTGTCAGACACTTCAGCCAAAGCATCCTCGGCTTTCACCCTTTGAGGAATGATATCTAAAGGCATAACAGCAATTATGAACTATGAACGTAAACCTGAATAAACTACATGCTACTATAGGATGCTAGAACAATTTTCATTAAGGAAACAGTAGCAGATACCTGAGAGGAAGTCAAATCTCTTCCTTTTTGAAACTACAGAAGCTGAGACAACAGAAAGGAGCTCTACGTTAGAATACAACAGATTTGGAAAGGCCTAATAAATTTACTAGCCGCAAGTTTGTGTCTAATTACCAACTTCAATAGCTAGCCATATGTTTACGAGTATTTAGTGTTTAAAACCAAGTGCTGTAAAGGATCATACAAAACCTAAATCTTCCATTTAGAGTAAGAATTTAGTATCCAGTCTGATGTAAGAAAACTATTTTCATGGTAAAGCAGTCTGAATGATTCAATATGCTGCTATAAATCATTGCAGTGTCGACGACTACTCCAACGTTAAACCATTATAACAAAATTTTGACTATAACTGCAAAGAAATAACTAAATATTATAGCATGCATGATTACATGTGACCTTCGAATGCAACGAGAGCTTACCTAGGTGGTCATAAGAAACTTGTTTCTTGTGATCAAGGAAGCACAAGCATATGCTTCCCTGCAGTACAATTCGAGAAATTTCTCCTGCAGCAGCAATCTAACGTAAATAACAGACTTGAGCAGACAATACATATACAATACATTTTTACATATTAATAGCACAACGGCAGCATAAATGTTCCATAAGGTGTAATTCTCCAAAGTAAAGATCCAAATATCACATAATGTCGCATAGGCTCCAAAGCAATGTAGCATAAGGTAGTATTTCAGATGAGGTTTACAGAAGCATCTTTTATCAGAAAATTTAATCGCAATTCTGCAACATAATATCACAGCAAGCGGAAAGGACCCAGTGCACAAGGTTTTAACCATTCTGAAGTCCAGATAGAGGCTAAGCTTAAGCAGTATAAAATGCGGGATGAAGCTACTACCATACCCAACATATGTAACAACCAATGATATATGCTGTTTGTATAGTTCAAAAGCTGATGGAAATGGACAAAAAGCAAAGGAACGTTCTGTAGTTCTGGAAATATCTCAAAAAGGAATGTGAATTTGACAAAGTATTGAGGAATCTGATAGACAGCTGTCTTTTCTCTTGCTATCATAAGAGCAACAAGATAGTTTCATCTTCCGAGCACTAAATGTCTCCTGAACGAAAAGGAGGTCATTTTCTATAAGGATTGCATATCCTACAACCAAAATCCTAGCAGTTGGTAAATGACATATAAGAATCGACCCTACCAGTTAAAAGATTTTGTTCATTGTTTTGGGCAGGGCAGGGCAGGGCCCCTGGGGGGGTGGGGGTGGGGGAGCAGCTGCAAACAGCGAGCATCTCCTCATTTTTCATAAGGCAGATTATAGTTACGGGCAATGACTGTACAGTTGCTTTTTTATGAATATCCCCTCAATGCAGGTGATCAAACACAGGCAGAATACATCATCTGGGCTTAGGAAAAATCATCTTGCCAAAAAGTTATTCAGCAAATGTGACAGAATTACCTTTCTTAAATTTTATTCATAGTGTGATATCTTTCCCCATATAGATATCTTCCCTTTCCAATGTACAGCACTTTTCCTCTAACTTAGCAATAGAAAATAGCACTTCCCATACTTCAGTCACAGGTTCTCCTAACCATTAACATCAAACACTAATAACCAAGACTCCACTGCCCCATTAACTGATATTTGAATCAAATTTTGAGTTGTTCAAGTCTAGCATATCAATTTGTCTGTGCAAAAAGTCTTCCATCTATATAATCAACATAGGTTATGCTAGTCATTACCAAAATATAACCAATACCTGAACAGAAAGCTACTTGTTAAAAAAAGCATCTACAAATTTGGTGATTTTGAGAAACTTTTACTCATCAAACACCATTTAGAATCCAATATGTCCACCTCAATCATCATACCTATTCGTTTTTTCGAAAAAGACTAATACGAATTTTAGTAGCATCACTATTTTGTTCAAATGCACCTACAAAACAATCTCTTAGAAGCCATCTTAAACTAGTTTGCAACCAACTACTCTTGAACCATGCATCAGGAAACTTTTGAGTATCAATACAACGTTACTGAAATTGTGTTAAAAAAAAAAAAAGCATTGGTGCCCTTACACCACACTACCAGATTTCAGTGCGTCACATTGAACTAATACTGAATAATACGAGATCATAGACTATATGTGTGTTATCAAATCCCACATGCCACCACTCAAACGTACGTAAATAGAATAGCATGCAATTACCAGGATCACTAATTAATCCCGAAGAAATACTCAACAAAAATGGAAAACAAAAACCCCAAAACAATAAACTAAAGTACAACAGTTTGAGATAGTAACATACTTTGTAATCAGCAAGTCAAAGAATCCATATTATATCAATTCAACAGACTAGCTATTAGTGTTATGCAATGTTGAATTCCTAAAGTTAAAAACTAAAATTTACTAATAAACAGATAAAGAAACACATACTAAAAACAATCAAAATCAAAATAAGGGAATTTTACAGAATCTTTACCGAAGCTTTATTTGCCAAGAATATAGCCTCCTGAGCCAACCTGGCACTGGCATCGTGATCCTTCATTATTTTTTGTATCCTGTTCATGGGAAATTTGCACTGGGCCCTTCTTCCCGCTCGTTTTCATCATCTCCCTCTTCCACCGCGACCATATTCTTCTTCTTCTTCGAATTCTTCATCTCTTTCTTCCCACTACTCTCCTGCTCCCTCTCCTCCTCTTCCGCCACAGCTTTCTTTTTTCCTTGACTTTTCTTCTTCTCAACTTCCTTCGGAGTACTACTACTACCAGCGCCACCACTTTTCTTATTTTCATCAACCCACTTTTCCCAATTTTCCCCCATTCCTTTGCAGCAATCTGGGAAGCGACCTTCTCTTCAAACAATAAGCGAATATCCTCGTCGTCGCTGTCCTCTTTTGCTCCTTTTTTCGCTTTCTTCGTAACAACTTTTTTCCCCCGTTCTGGCTTGGAGCTCGACGACTCCAAAATCAAAACCTCTTGCTCCTCCTTCTCCTCCTCCTCATCTCTGTTCTTCCTTTTTGGGGCAGATGGGTTTTCGGGCTTAGACAATTTTTTGCTCCGAGTTCCATTAGAAATACTTCTCTTCCCCACCATTGTTGGGAAAACTTGTTATGGTACACAAGCTACGGGTTCGAATTGAGTTGAACCCACTTCGGAGAAGGCCTGAATGTATCAAAATCGAAAGGCCAGTGTGGGCGGGGCGGATGGATGGTTCGGGAGTTTGGGCGGGGTTCAAATAGGACAATAGGGGACCCGCCCAGAAAGGGCAGAGCTTAATTTGTAGTAGTATATTGCATTCATTCATTAGTTAACTTTCTTTTAACAATCCTTTTTGGTTTCATTAATGAGATTTTGAATTAGAGTCATTTGTTTTCATAACTTACCATAGTAAACCCTTGACCTATATCTTTAGTTCTCCTTAATTATATTTCTACTTCTAGTGTTTAATTTTCTGATGATAGCATTTATGACTTATTGTTTGTACATGAATCTATAATATGTTAAGAAAATCCTAATTGGTGAAAATTTTCAAGTATCCTTAGAAGGGGAAAAAGTTAATAGAGAATATCGATCACGACATATTTAATTTTCTAATAATCCGATAACATGTGGTAATTCTCTACCGGTAATTTTCCGAGTAGCAAGAATTCCTTTGTTTTTTGGATAAAATGCCAGAAACAATTTTGTTTAATATTGTGTGATAGATTAGCTGATAAAATGCAATAACTAATAATAATGCATTGAAATCATGTTCAAGTGTCAGATAAAAGATTTTGCTATAAGCACAAATACAAAGGACAAATCTCGTGGTAATAGGGTCAAAGATCGAAAATCTGAAGCACTTTCCCTATTCAACGCATACATACTTAACCTAAAGATTTGTTACCTTCGACTTTGCAGAGTAAGTTGCATGCATTTGTTTGTGACTCATTGAGATATCGTTATTACTCAATATTTTTTTTTACAATGAGTGCTGTATTTCTTTTATCTTATTTCATTAGTAAGATATTTGATTACTTTTTTGCAATAATTTATATGAAAAGAGATCCACGTATATAGAGCTATAAAGAAGTCATTTTAGGGGTGCTTATTTCACAGATTGGAATCGAAATGGAAATGGAATCATAGACTCTGGTTTTGGAATTAAATTTTTTATTCAATATCTAGCTTGATTCACACATTGGAATTAGCATCATTTCAATTCCTGATGCTTGGTTTGATGAGTGCAATTAAATTTCAAATTTACCCCTGATATAACAATTCTTATAAAACAAAGGGATAATTGCAGAAACTAGTAGGTTTTGTATTTAACAAAAATATGAGACTTGGTAGATTTTGAAGTTTAAGGAAGGGATATTTGAAGTTTAACGACCGTTATACAACTTTCAAAACAAACAAATTCATTCTAAATTTTTTTTTGAAATAATTTCATAAACCAAATCGCGGTCACTTTCACAAAAGTCATATTTTTCCATAGAAGATCAATTCTTTATGGTTTTCCTCCATTATAAAAACAGTATCCATTTTCTCATAAACAAATATATTTATAGGATAAAATAAAAATAAACCCGTTTTCCAATAAAACACCAGTTCTTTATGACTTTCCTCCATTATAAGAACAGAGTATCCATTTTTTCATAAATAAATTTATTTATCGGATAAAATAAAAATAAACCCGTTCTCTAATAAAACACCAGTTCTTTATGGCTTTAGAATGAAGGGTTACAATGTCGTTGTCTCTATCACCATCAATTTTTGACTCCCTACTTCTTCCATCCCACCCAAGACCAGAACGAAAAAGATTTTACAAAAGATCAAACCTTGCATAAAATGATCAACTATAAAGCTTAATTAATATGCCAACCGCAGCTATGTTCAAATGCTATGTTGAATAGGTTCTTAACATACAAAGAACAATTCGTACTAAAATTTCACAATTAATTCATAGCAAGTCATCTTTCCTGCACTGAACAAGACCCTTGAAGCGAAGATCTTTAGGTTGAAGTTCTTAATATACTGAGCAGATTCTTAATATACAAAGAACAATTCGTACTAAAATCTCACAATTAATTCATAGCAAATCATCCTTCCTGCACTAAACAAGACCCCTGAAACGCAAATCACAAACCCCTTGGATTTGGGTTGTGGGTTTTCTTCAATTTTTTTTAGAGATCTTTCTGGTGGAGATCTTGTTGAACAATTTGCCCACTGAAGATATTTGCCCACTATTAATCCATTTAAATCTACTTTAGATCTTTTTTTTTCAAAATATTTTGGACTACAGATGAAGACTATATATGATGAAGAAGAAGAGATAGGAAATCTGACGAAAAAAAAGAACAGAAGATGTGGCATGTGATGGAGAGAAAAAGAGGACAGGTCCGTCATAAATGTTGTCTGAGGGAATAAATAGAAAGTTTTGTCCAAAACCTCCCAATTTGCTCGAGAATGGGATAAGTCCAATTTTTTAGAAATGATTCCAAAATTTGTATTCCAATAGACTTAACCCAAGCAATAAATTAGGGGTTCATTCCTTTCTGTGATTCCCAAACCCTTGCTATTAGAATTTCTAATAGCTTTACAAACTAGAATCCCATCATTAAACGTTCTAGAGGTTTGAGGTAAATTAAAAAATTTTGAAAGACGCCTAATGAGAAATGGACCAAATGGCCTCCTTACTACTTACTAGTTACTAGATGCCAACTGGAAATTTCATAAGAATGGATTAAACAAATGGAAAGAAATCCAATGGTGAATTCCTTGTTTTTCCCTCTGATTTTCTGTTGTTTTTTAGTTTTCCTTAAACTAATGAACTAGCACTGCAATTCCCAATTGCCGTTTCCCAAATTGTCAAAGCCAAAAAATTAGCTAAAACTACTTGGTCATTTTAATTTGCTGGAAGTTGATTATTTTTTTTTCCCGTAACAGCACATCCATTCTAACCTAACCGACTCCTACTTCTAAGAGGGAGAAACCTAATCTATGGGAATCGACTCTAAAGAGTGATCCAATTGAGTCGAGGGAACCTGACGGGGACTGAATCACTATCAGACCAGACGGATGCATCATTCACCTGTATGGATTTAAAATAATTCTCATATACAGGCACATTGATGGGAGGTAAGGTTTGAACCACTAACCTCCCACCCCACTATTAATGTGCTGGAAGTTGATTACAGTGCTTAAAACAATTTCGGAACTGTGATTTACATTACCAATGCATAAAGACAAGCCACACGCAGCAGCAAGGCACTAGCTTTGTTGAACACCTATTCAACGGCCCTTCAAATACTCCGTCTCGTCAGTTTTGTATTTATATAGCTGCACTACACACACACGAAACAAACAAAAACAAAAGGTAATTTCCAGACAAAGGATTATAAGCGATTCAATAATCAATTCATCAAATGTGTAACATAAAAAGTGTCTATAACTGGGGATAACAATTAGGTCACAAGTCAAGTTGAGATTCAAGTGCCCAGAATAACACTGGCTAATTACTTAGAATATAGGTTAAAAAAAGAAAAGTCAAACATTTACTGATCTAACACAGGGCCCGACACCTGACATCAAAAAAAAATTTTTTTTTAAAAGACCGCTGGTGCTGGGCAGTGTCAGCCCAGCACCTGACATTGAAATTTTTTTAAAAACGATGACAGGTGCCGGGCTGCTACCATAATTTTTTTAAAAAAGATGTCAGGTGTCGAGCTGTGTCAGCCCGACACATGACCTAATTATTTCCAAAAAGCTGGCCAGAGCTGATAATTTTAAGCTCACTTGCAAGGAGAGCCAAGGGCTATGTCCTATCTACTTCAGATCCGAAATATATATTATCCATCACCTGAAATACCAAGACATCAACTTTTAAGCATTACTTTGTTGCCACACTATTTTGTCAAAAATAGTAACAGGCATCCACTAAAGAAGTAAATATCTGAAACCATTTTACGTGATTTATCCTCATGCATGCAGCTTCCAACGACCGATCAACATATCCTTTCACTTTCCTCGATGTAATCTTTCCCAAATCATCAGATTCTATAAACTGCAAGCATGAAAGATTGTCTAATCAGATCTTATATTGATTAGTGGTTCATCATGGAAATTGCACCTTTATTACTTTTCTAATATCATCAAATAAGTTAATATAGAGTAACCCATTAATTAAGAATGAAAAAGAAAATGTTAAGCAACATGTAGCTAAAATATGTGACAGCATCAATAAAAAAAAATGGTTAATCACATTTGCAATAATTTCATCCTTAATTAATCAAAATAAAAATAAAACAAAAATTAGGGGAAACAGATGAAAATTGAGGGAAAAAGAAGAAAATGCAAAAAAATCAGCTAAAGATAATAATATAGAAAACAAAAACCTTGAAAAAGGAAAAATTAAACTAACCAAGATGATGGAAAGCAGAAAAAGTTGAAATTTCCAAGTCGTCTACAATCTGCTAAAGATGATAGCCTGATGATAATGGTGAAGGCTTGAGAAAATCTTGTTGTAGATATTTGGGTTTGAAAGGGTTAAGAAGAAAATGTTGAAAAAAAATTCAAGAGGAGAATGGAGAGTCGTTGGCCGGCTGATGAAGCCGAGAAAGTGATGAAAAGAAAAGTGCGCTGCACTCTGCTGTTTCTTTTGTTAATGTTAGGGTTTCAATTTTTTAATCTATTTTTTAGTCAAGTTAAATAAAATTCTCAACAAACTCAACTTGCCCTATGATTGTGGTCTAGCGGTAAGACACTCTTATGTGAGCAGGAAGGCACAGGTTCAATTTTGAGTAGCCTGATTTGGGACATTTTGTTGAAAATTTAAAAACCGCCGGGTTGCGGTTTGTACGATTTTTCACGGTTCATACGGTTCGACTAATTTCTAGCGATTTTTCATTAACTGGTGGGTTTGATGCTAGACTGGACCGGTGGTATATTTGATTCACGGTCCAATCGATCCAATCGTCTGGTCCGGTCCGGTTCTAAAAACATTGCTCCAATCTGATGCTCAAGAGCAACCGATGCTCCAATTTGAAGTTGTTGAATCTGGTCTGACCCGACTTCTGAGAGTATATCCTACCACCTTACTCTGCATAATTCGGGTAATGGGCCGAAGCGAACCCGCAGAAATTTCCTGGTTTAGCATCTAACGGGGACCTTGTGTTGCATAAATTGAGGAGGATTTTGGGGCCATTGTTTTGAAAGAATCTTTGGAGACAAAGCCGCGGGCAGTGGTGACGACTGGCATCAGTAGAGA